ATCCAGAAGAGAAAACTTGTTTGAAGAGAAATATTTATTTTTGCACTAATTACTATAAATATTAAAATCCAGTGGAACAGAAGATAGATAGCTCTCTAATAGTGGCATGAAGATAACAGGATATGTAGAGAGAGAAGAATATACTTATATTCCAAGTTATAATGTAACAGTTATGAATGGTTTACAGTTCATTGCAGGGCATTTCTGGTGTTCAGGAATGGAAGCAATTTTCAGAGTATCTCCCCAACAGCTGGTGATGGCCCAGCCCTTCATAGCTGGAGCTGCTCAGTGCTGATGAAGTCAGTGAGGAATCTCAGGTCACGTAGTTGCACAGAGGGCTCTCCTTGCACACTGGAGTGCCCTGCACTGGCTAAAGCAGCTCCTCCTGCCCGTGGTGCTGGAGCTGTGGCTGTGTGTGCAGGAGTTCACTGATCACTCCTGAGACAGGAGAGAAGGGCAGCAGTGCCTGTCCTTGCAGCAGTGCCTGTCCTTGCAGCAGGACAAGCAGACGAGCAGGAGTTGGAGCAACTCCCAGCAGATGTTGGTGGCACCACAGCCCAGGGAGGGGCTGGAGCAGTCACCAAAGGGGTCACAGTACCTGTGACAGTACAGGGGTCACAGCACCCCTGGCTTGACCGAGGAGGGGGAAGCTGAGCAGCAGAGAGCCTCCAGGTTCCCTTCCCAAGTTAATTCCCAGGCCCTGTTCCAGTGCATTTTTCAGCCCCAGAGCAGCCAGACACTTGCAGAAATACCTGCTTTGGCTGGTGCCCAGTGAGGCCAAATGGCATTGCCCTGTGGCCAGATTTGGCTACCACACAGACACATGGACCACACCAGCCTGAGGCTTCTTTTAAGAGAGTGGCATTTGTATTTCATATCTAGTATCCTTAAGAGACTATATTAATTCTTTCTCACAAAAATGTACAGAGAGGCTGCGAATCCAAATTTTTCCCATTTTGGGCCTAAATCAAGGCTTAGAGAGAGTGCAGTGCAGCCACTTTGTCTCTCCAAATTATTCCGGTTCATGTTTCATTAGTTTGGGGTTTTAGTTTCTTTTTATTTACTGATATTTCTGTCTTCTATCAAATAATATCACAGGGCAGCTCAAGGTTGCTGCTATGACTTGTATCTTTCTCAAGTAGTTTAGAAACAGCACAGGAAGACTATGAAATCAGTGATCTCCAGTGTCTGGAACCCAGTCCTCATCTGGGCAGGGAAGGACTGTGTTAAGCACTTGAGCTGCAGTAGCCCAGGCTCCAGAGGGAGGACAGGTAATAGATGAGCATTCTCATGACAAAGCAGTTCTGATGTATAGCCTGTTCTGCATTAGTCTTATTGAAGAAATGTCAGAAAATGGAATTACTGTAATTTTTCTTGAAACCTACTATTACAATTTTAGATCTAAATCTGCAAAGATGAGGAAGAAAGGCAAATAAAGTGGCAAGTGAATTCACCACCATATGGGATTTTTCAGATTCAGCAATACGTGATTGGAATTATTCCATTTGATTTTCAGGCTTTCCATTGCCTGAAATGTAATTTCCCATCGCTGTTAAATGTAGTTTTCTAAAACAGACAGCATAGGAGTGAGGTGCATTTCAATTGTGTTGGATGATTTTCATCTAAACCACTAAAAGAAGGGGACATGATTGAAGAGAGTAGTTAAAGAAAACAGATTGATCTGCATGAATGAAATGAGGGGGTTTGTTTTTTTGCTTATTTAGGGGAGTTTCACTGGAGCAAGAAGGTATAATAAAAGCATCTGGGATAATGGTGAAAGCTGCAGGAGCCAATGGCAGGTCAGCAGAGGGGAGGAAGTCAGATGGGAATGGTGCATTGAGTTATCAGGGGCTGAGAGTTACTGAGCTTTGCCTAAGGGAAGGATCACACAGCTCTGTAATTAGAACTATCTCAAGGCAAAAATACCTACTGAGTTATTATCGATGGTCTCCTTCCCAAAATAAAAAACTATTTGGTACCTTTTCTTCCTATGAGGTCTAGAACTACTTCATTAGAAAACAGTTTTGTTAATTAAAAAAGAAATCAGAATGCTTAGTATTTTCCTTGAGAACATGACTTTTAGTGGGGACACCTTGTGTTCTGCTGGGAACTGCTGTGGTAGGATTATTATTGTGACTAAATTACTGGTTGATTTCCTCTCCTGTAATTTATTTCTCCTGTTTATTATTTCCTATTGCCTTTTACTCAAAGGCTGATCTTTCAAGTACTTCCACCTGAAGCTGTAGTTTGCTTCATGTGCATCTACTATTATTTTAGTCACTCCTGAAAATATTCTTTCAAGTCCATGATTTTGAAGTGACTTTGTGCAGGTACTGATTGGCAGAGGTGTTCAGGATTAACTTGTTATGTTGCTGATTGCAGCCTCATGTTCCTGCCACAATTTTAGCCCTTAGGTGAGGGGATGTTAACCTTGTAACTCTGTAGGTTTACTTACTGCAGAACAAGCAAGTCTTGCTGTCAGCTGTTTCAAGCTACATACATTCTTTATGTATGTAATGGCATGTATATAAAACATATCAAGTGTGCTTATGGGTGTGCATTTTATTGCATTATAGATAATCCCTGGCACTCCTCTGTGGGCTCTGGTAGATGTGGCCAAGTCTAAAGCAGAGCACAAGAGCAAAGTCATGTACAACTTCACCATAGATAAGTGGTTACAAGCCAGTAGTGTAAAGTCATTTGAATGTCATAGTCTTGCTTCCTTAATCTGTTTAGGTTCGAAATTGTATCAAGACAATTAACTGTCTAACAGTAAAGTAATATTTCAGGGTTAAGGAACATTTCCCCTTATAAAGTTGTCTGATTTTGTCAGATTTCCTCTTTATATGGATGTAAACTCAGAGCTGAAAATCCTGAAACAGCTGAAGCGATTTATGAAGCTAAAATTTATGTACATTGATATAAAGAGGTAAATTTGACTGTGGTTATGTTTTAAGGTAAATTCTGATTAAGTAGTTGCACAGAATTTGGGAAGAGCCAATGGAGAAAACTATGTTAACGATATAGTCTCTTGTTATTTCAGAAATAAGTCACGTAGAGAAAGAAAACCTGCCACTGCTTAGTGAATTTAATAGAGATATTGTCTAGCCTGACAGCAAAAGCTGATATTTTATATTATTTCTCTTGATCTATATTACAAAAATTCTTGCAAGGTAATTAGTCTCCAAGGCTTTTCTTTTTAATCAAGCACTAAGTTGACTTTTCTTTTTTCCTTTGCCACAGTGGTATCTAAGTTGTCATGACAAGAATAAGTCAGTGTGTCATTGTGAATGCACTTGTATTCCTAATGAACTTTGTATTGCAAGACAAGGACTTTGTACAATCTTTCTGGTCATTTTTATAATAGAGTGGAGTGGTCAAATTCTTACAATGATGTTCTGGATTGGTCCTGTTCTGGTGAAGTGTAAGTGATTTTTGCAATGTTTGAGACTGACTTGCACATTTTCCCTGAATATCTGTATTAAAAACCACCAATGGCATATTTATGTCAACTCTGATTGTTGTGTCTTAATCTTGGAAACATGGACAGTAACCCTATTGTGCCAGGGCTCCAGTCAGCATTTTGTAGATTAAATAAAAGCTTAACTCTCATAACTTTCTGGGTGGGACTTGTACTGATGCAAAAGCCTCCTGCATTTTTCATAATACTGACTTTCAGGAAGTACCATTATTGGTGACAGGACGTGTTCCCTTCCATTAAACAAAGCTCTAACATGCAGTTATCTCCCTCTGTCATCAAGTGTAGCTCAGTTCTCTCCATTTCCATATGTATTGCCAGATAACCTCAGAGGAAGTTGTTATACTTGGGAATGCTGATAACTTATTTTTGCAACAATCCAAGACTGAAGCTGAGGAGGAGCCGTGGCAGGGGCTGTGCAGTGCCCGTGGTGGGGCTGTGGCAGGGGCTGTGCAGTGCCCGTGGTGGGGCTGTCACACAGGACAGTGACAGGCCCTGCAGAGCTGGTGTCACGGGAACAGCACAGCACCAGCCTGGGTACTGGACTCACCTTCACGGGCTTCAGTAGGTTCCTATATGATAAACACCATGTAAAAAGCCATGGGTCATAACTACATTATGGTTAAATTTGTATTTTATAAGGTTTGTAGATTTTTCTGGGGAAAAGAAGACTTTTGAATTCTGTAACTTCCGTGATAAAGATGCATGTATAACTAGAAAAAAAAATATATGCTTACTTGATAATGAAGGAATAAATACTACTAATGCCAAATGTGTTGATGAACTTATTTTTTTTCTAAAATATGGACTGACATTTGCAGTACTTCTAGAAAGAACAGGCGTGCTATAGGTATTCCTAATACTTCTGTAAGACTTCCTAAAATAACAGTGCTCCAAAAGCTTAAGCTGCAACTCTACGGAGAGAAACTCCAAAAATTGCAAGCAGGGCTTGGCCAGCACTGTAAAAGGAAAGCCTAGTTCTAGAGAGAGAGTAATCAAAGTCCACGGTGGATGAGACATACCAGCCCCTGAGCATGAGCTGCAGAACTCACACCTTTCAGCAGTGCTGCCCTGTTGAAACACTGGTATGTCACACGAGCTGCTGGGATAAGCAGAGGTTTCTGTAGCTTAATCCCATTACATTGCCTAGAATGTGGGATTGCTTGATAGGGTGACCAAAAAAAAAAATCTACTTGAGCTGCTCTTCAGAAGGTCACTGTAGAACCTCACAAATAAAAACTACTTCTTGTCAAAAGAAGAGGAAGTACAAGAGAAAAAAGAACTATGTCCCTTTCTGGTTTTAGTTAAATCCCTGACCTTTTACTAAACCCTGGGTTTAACCCTGCAGTGGGGGTAGGGTTATCTGATACAACAGGGTTTAACTGAGCAGTAACACAAGGATTGCAGCCCTGCATTTTACATTTCCTCAACATGTCACGGTAGGCATTTAAAATACTGTTGCCACAACTCTCAGGTAGGTCATATTCCAGGAGATACATAGAATGGGATCACCAATACTTACATTTTGGGGTTCTCCCCAGTTTCTTCAGGGGGCGAGGGGGGAATGCTGGCATTCCTTAATACACATAGGAGATAAAATCCCAAAAGAAAAAAGCAGCTGCACAACAGTCTTATCCATGAGAACATTCCCTTCAAAATATAGAGCTAATACTTATGTACAGCTGAGGTTGTAGATTCCTGTGAAGTTCTCCTGTCCATAAAGGTCATATTCCTTGTACAGTATGTAGTCTTTCAGGCAGTTTGGCAGTGGAAGGAAGGTCATGAAGACAGGACAGCGGAGACGCAGCCGGCCCATGCATTCCCGGATCTTCAGACGACAGAGATGCTTCAGAGAGCGAGGATTTGCTAGAAATGAGAATGCAAATTAAAATACTACCAGCAAAAAGGCCCCAATCCCCAAACAGCTTGTTTTTATTTCAAATGTAAACAGATACTTACTTAAAATGAAGTGGATGTCTGGCCAGAGTTTCTGTTCTTTGAGAACTGCTTCAAGCTTCCAGCAGATCTTGACGTGATCAACGTAGTCTAACATCACTCGCACGACTTTCCCAGACACGTGCTTCAGCCATGACAAGGTTATCACTTCACAGAACTGAGAGAAACAATATGTTTAATGGGATACTATTCAATACTGCTGCAAATGATTTCTGTCTATGCAGGACAAGAGCAACTGAGTAACTTGTGGAGAATCCAAGGCAGAACGAGTGTTCTGTCACTCAAGGGGCTTCAGAGGCTGTCACAGCTTGCATTAAGCCTCACCAGTAGAATCTGAAAATCTGAGAGGTGGTTATTTTGTACTAGATCCAAAAATAAACTTAAACAGCTATATATTTGGTACCTAAGTGCTTAAAAAGAAGTGCTGCAAATACCTAAGGGGAATTTAGACTTCTGTCCTAGCATGCTGAACAGGGGGATCCACCAGCCCAGTGCACCCCTCAGCCCTTTATCTTTAGGTTAAAGAAGGGTTTATTAGTTTCAAATGGACTTTACAAACTGCTACTCAATGACACTGATGGGTGTCTCCAGGACCCTCTTTAGGTTGGTCCAGGCTCGTTAACTGCTGCTCAGTGCTTATCCTGCCAGCTCCAGGGTCTTTAGAACAGCCTTCCAGTGTTGCCAGCCTGCAAGTCCCTGCTCTCACAGCATGGACAAGACTGCTCTGGAAAACCAATGCCATACTGATCATTAGATATCATAAGCTATTTTTTCACAAATCAGAAATACAGTTTGCAATCATTTGCTGCCATGAACCAGGCGTCATGGCAACATCTGTTCGATTTTAAAGCCTTGTCTATTCTATCTTTATGTATAAACTGCCTGACAGTTTCAAACCTTCCTTTTCTGACGCTGCATTACGTCCCTTTTCATTCAGTTTTAGGAAGGACACTGGTAGCAGCACAGCACACGGAGCCGTGTGCTGCACTCACCATCGTGTCTTTGATGACAGTGGAGGTCCAGCCGTCAGTGACATACTGCGAGTGGCAGTGGTTTCCCCCGAGGCAGTCGAAGCAGCGCTGCACGTTGTACCCGTAGTTGAGCAGCATCCTCAGCATGACCTCGTCCTTCAGGGCGTACTGCAGCGCCGAGGGGAAGTGCGTGGTGTTCACTCTGCAGAAGTAATTCACGTTGGCCCCGTGGCGGAGCAGCAGGTTCATTAACTCGTAATTGCCCATTCTCAGGGCGATCTGAAGACAGTTGATGGGATCCTGGTTTGTCAGGGCTCCGGCGTTCAGCAGCAGCCGTGTGGAACAGAGATCCCCGTTGGACACAGCGAAATACAGGGCTGATTTCCGGTGGTCATCGTAGCCTTTGCGAACTCGCTGATCCAGCATAAAATTGGCATCAAACCCAGACTTGAGGAGAAACTCAAGGCACTGTGGATGTGCTCCTGCTGCTGCTGAGTGAACTGGACTTATCCCACTTTCTTTAATGGCAGCAAAATCTGTAACTGGAACTAAATATTTTAGGGCTCTGAAAAATTAAAAAAAAGAAGAATCTCAGGTTCTTAAACATAGTGCTTCACTTAACTTATCTTGGAATTTTTCTGTGTTGCTGGACTTCAGAATTCATCATGACTGTAAAAATCATCTTAATCTACTAAATCAGTACCTTGACAAGTATAAATTGACTTGAATTGCTAACAATTAAATTTCAATGGATACTGACTTAACACCTGCTATACATAAAATATTATTCTATTATACTATAACAGAATCAAAATATTATTCTATATTCCATTTATATATATATATTTATTTCATTAACAACTTCATTCCTTTCTAGAGGTTTCCTTCTCAATAGAAGCTTTTCCTAAATGTCAAGAGCACAATGTTATTGCTTAACCCGTAGGAATTAGAATATACTATATTTTAACATGAATGCATATAATCTAAAATGTAATATATACATTTAAGTTTAAATGTAACTTAATATATTTAAAATATTACGATAGGAATTAAGAATCCTCAGATTCTTGTTTCTCACTTACTGGTTGTGATTTTAGCTAAAATATCTTCCAGTAACCTTACTTTCTTTTAAATAAGGATAGCTCTTATTCCCTAACTCTATTTGCCTATTTGGTGTATTCACCTTGCTGCGATAGGGTGGAAATGAGACACAGACCCAAAGAGAGTGAGGACGTCCCAAGAATCTCAACATCAGCCTGGACAGTGTTATTATTTGTGACAAGTTGGGAAATACTACAGGGATTAAAATGTTTAGGATAAAGTGATTTTATACTAACTGGTCTCTTACATTCAGACACAGAACAGTATATTTACACAATAAAAAACAATTCCTTTTACAAAACTTCAGATTTGCTGCCTGCTTTGAATGAGATAGAATTAGCGAAGTTAATATTTGTGCTATCATTATTACTTGATTTTTAAGTATATTAACTCACAGAAAGTGTCCTCTATATGCAGCTCTGTGGATTGGCAAATGACCCGAGTGCTTTGGTACATTGGCATCAGCCCCATATTCTAGTAAAAGACTCACAGAATCTGGATTTCCTCCTCCTGCTGCTTCAAATAATACAGAAGCACAATCCATTGCCTGTGAAAGAACATCTGCACCTGGAAAGAAGCAGTGAGGATTTTCAGAGGAGTCACTGTACACACCCAGCTGTAATGAATGTCTCCAACCCTCCAGTGATGGGTATTGGGAATTCTATTCTTCACCAAATAAAACCAATGTGGGCACAAACCTTCATGCTGGATCCTTGATTTTAGATGTGTTTATGTAATCCTGGAAACAAGATGGTCCAAATTGCTTTGAATACAATTACATGGTAAGAATTGCTGCTAGAACTGGGCCAGCAAGTGGTTTGGTTCTTATTCATCCAAACAATTGCTTTTTGGCTTACATAGAATGCTCTCTAAATATTTTACTTTACAAAGACCAGACAGATATAACTGCAAATATGAGAGAACTCAGTATCCATGCAATCCAGTTCCAGTGCTGCTGAACCATCATGTAAAATTCCCCACAATAAATGTTGTCAGGGCTTCCCTAAGGTGACCTGTCCACATGAGAAAACAATAGAGCATTTTAAAACAATTACAAATACAAAATATTTGTGAAATAAAATATATTATTTTAACCTTATAAAATGTGATTTTTATCAGGCCTTTACTTAACTACATCACAATAACCCTCTTGGTGCAGATAGCATTTAATATTCTTTAGTAAGGTGAGTTATTTCTGCTGCTGTTTCTAAAGGCATATCTTACAATAATCAGTTTTAATCCAACCACAGAACTTGCAGAAGACTAATAAAAATGTATGTAAATAGACTAAATACTTTAGCCTATGTATATGGGTACTGAGATAAGAACAATTTTTTGCCTCTGCATTCAGGAATACTTTTCTCTGTTGGGACAGAGAGCTTTAAACATTTCAGTACTGCACATGTAGCTCCCAATTTCTATTCACTTGAAGAACACCACCACTGAAGCTATATGTTACTAAAAACTGAACCACAGAGTAGTTGAGGTTGGAGAGGATCTCTGGAGAATGTCCAGTCCAGCCCTGTGCTCAGGCAGGATCAGTGAGAGCAGGTTGCCCAGGACAGCATCCAGTCAGGGTTTTAGCGTCTCCAAGGAAGGAGATTCCACAAATCCGTGTGACCTGTCCCAGTGTTCAGCCACCCTCCCAAGACAGAATTTGCCAGGTTTCAGTTGGTGCCCATTGCCTCTTGTCCTGTTACTGGGCACCACTGAGGAGAATCTGGCTCTGCATTCTTTACTCCATCCCATCATTTATAACCCTGATGACAGACCCCCACCCTAAGCCTTCTCTCCCTGTAAGATCCTATATTATAAAGTCTTACCTTTTTGCAGTAAAAGCTCCATAATTTCCGTGTGTCCCATCTGTGCAGCCAGTGCTAGGGGTGTGAGCCCATATCCACTGCGAGGGTCAGGATCCGCTCCAGAATGAAGGAGAAGCTCTACCAGATCCTTCCTGCCCCGTCTGGCTGCCTCGTGTAGAGCAGTTCTCTTGTGGACACACTGCAAATCCACTTTGGCACCAGATCTTATCAACAAGGAGGCAATCTCATAGGAATCCTGTTTAATTGCTGTAGTACAACAAGCAAAGCAACAGGCAGAATGTTATTCAGTGCTATTCCACGCACTGTGGCTTCTCTAAAGTGGCAGTCCAGGAAAGCTGTTCCTGCAGTGCTCTTTATATACTGAGAAACGTCACCCTACACTGAAAGGTTTAACTTATCAACAAGTCTGTTCTTTGCTTCCAGGACAGCATTAACCATAAAAATAAACCATGTTATGGTAATCTCTCTCTGTAATCCTCTGTTGTGTTTGGTGATGGAACAGAACACAGCTTTCCTTACCACTAGATGGAGGCCACATCCAGGGCCTTAGTGGAGTCAGGAGCTGTCAGCAGAGCTCCATTTAAACTTTATAAGCAGTTACTACAATATGAAACAAAGTTTAAAATTATTGTGTCATATACCTTTGTAGCTTAATAAGCCTGAACTGTTGAGTCTGTAAGGATCTTAAAAGAGAAATTTGCATTGGCTCCAGGAATGGAATGAATAAGCAACACCTTTCCCTCCTTCTCTCTTTGATCTTCCAGGCTGTGCAGGGTAGCAAGTGTCCTTCATCAAGACAGATTAGGCTGAGAAGCGTCATATGCCACAGCTGCTTGAAGTGCCCCTGACAGCATCCTGTGATATGAGCTGTGATGTGCCATTATCTGGAACCTACACAGCAGCTTTAGATAAATCCCATACATCCCCATCTTGTGGGATGATGCATTTTAATATTGTGCACTTCAAAAATGTCTAGGAATTCTCTACATCTTTTGTAAGCAGGTGGCCCTGACTAGAAGCTTCAGCCATTTCACAGGGATAGACTGGGGGTCCTATAGATGGTTGGTAGGCTCTTTAACAACAGTTTTGAAAAAAACCCTCTTCCAATACTGAAAAATGTGCAGGTTAATCCAAGAAACTTATAGTGCTCCTTTAGAGCTCAGATAATGAGAACACACTTTCATTTTTTTGGCTAGGATTCAGTAAGAATTATGGCATCATAGCCCATACTGAGGGAAGTAAATGAAATGATCCCAGAACACTTTTGAAAAACATTTTGGCAAAATATGGTTCTTTGTAAATCAAGAATTACAGTTCTTGTGCATGATCCAATTGAAGTGGCATCCACACAGAGTGGTCCTGGTTATGGGACCCTATTCCTCAATTACAAAACATTAAAGAGAACTGAACTGAGAATTTTGGCTTCTTTGCTTGTCATGCTTGGATTTGTGCCAGCAAGGTCTAAATAGGGCCAAACACTGTTTTGTGCTCTCCATACTGCAGATAAATCAGGCTGGTTTGCTTCATTTTTTGAAAATCAAAAGCCATTATCATGGGTTTTGGAGAAAGAGAGGTTGATGCAATGGAAGAAATACCATGTTGGGCAGAGAATACAAATGTTTTATGCCTGCAGACATGCAGGGCAGTAATAGCATGAAGAAGGACCTGGTTGCCTGGCACCACTGCATAAATGATGCCAAGGAAAGCAGAGGATGACCCTCTGCACTTCATGGAGAAAGCTAATTGATTCATGTACGTTCAACCTGAACTTCAAACTCTTTGCAACTGAGGAATAATTTGACAGTAGGCATCTGGAGCTCTCTACATTGGATCAGACTTCATGGAAAGATATTTTACTTCTCCAAGTTCCATGTTTATGGGAAAACTTCAATTAATAAATAATGCAAAGAACTTTGTGGTGACAGACCCTAACTTGGAACAGACAACTTATTTGAAGCCCTGCTATCATCTAAGAAAAACAGGCAAGGGCAGACACATTCAATGCTGAGATTAAAATTTTTCCTTCTTATAGCAAAATATTTTAATAATAAGTCAAATTAAACCCTACAATGTGTAAGTATGATCTCATCTAACTCCCTCACCTCTCCACCCCTAAATAAGGTATTCACCTATAACTAAAGGAGAATCTCCCTCTTCATTCTTAACGTTGGGATTGCAGCCATTGATCAGGAGCAAGCAGACATTGTCCACAAGGCAATTGCTTACTGCCACCAGCAGAGGTGTTTCCCCTTTTAGAGTGGTCTGTTCCCAGGTACTGGCATGGGAGGCTGAAATGCAGAACAGCAGAACACATTTGAATATGAGTGATTAAACTCAATTTTGTAAAAACTTTTTGGTGGAAAACCAGGAGGACTCTGTACCTTTCATAGTTATTTCAAGGATGTTCTTATTTAGCTGTGCTGCAGCTTCATGCACAGGAAGCCAGCCTTGCTCATCTGCTTCTTCAAAGGCAGAACTGTGCTTCACCAACTTCTTCAAGGCCTCTTCTTGGCCTGTGGTGTTTTAAGACAGACACATATCCCATTACTAACCATAAGACAAAATTCAGGCAACTAATCTACTGAGTGCCATTTATCCCATCAGTGTATCTGGAATAAACAACCTGCTTTGTCAGAGCAATTTTTTCTCAGAGGAAAGTTTACATGAATGGAACAATCAATGATCAACATTGACTCAAAAAGCATTTTGAATTATACATGGAAAAAAAAAACTTACAATAACATTACTAAAATATTTCAAGTACAATCCTCTCATGAGCAATATTGCATTTCATATTGGAATACACTACAGTTTTGCAGTTAAGGAACAGTATTGGAACACTCTTCAGGTAGAGAAAGCTTTTTAATCTGGGTATCTTGCAAAGTATCTTGAAAAATGTTATGAAGTATTAATGGACTAATCAATTTATACTTCAAAACTGCTTATTTTAAAAGAAAGGCCTGGAATTTTCCCCTAATTTCAGGAGATGAAGCACTGGAATTTCTGAAAAGGGTGACACTTGAACCCATCCCATTACCATGATCATATCTAAGTTAGTTTGGATGTCCTGGTTTTAGTTGCCTTATTCTTCCCAAGACTACATAAAGAAAAACTGCACTTAAATCAGGTGATCAAACACTTCATATGTAGGCATTGCTCAGCAATTCCCAGGAGTACAGGCTTAGTGTGGGGTATTTGTACTTAACTGTCTGAATTGCTGCAATTATCTTTCCATGTTCTTTACTTCTAGTAGACTGGAAACTGCACAAACAGAACAAGAATAGAGTGAGAAGTAAAAATTAATGTGAAGTTCAGGATATAATTATACCTTAATTTAAATACTCAAGTCTAGACTACATGTTAGATTTCTCTAAGTTACATCAATTTTGTCAGGGTTTATCACATTAAAACAGTTTTTTGCTGGTCTTCCCCTCACACCACAAATATTGATTTTTTCACGTAAAAAATTAAATACTAAGATGAGGGGAAGCTACCATAATAATCTAATTTTATATCACCTACTTATCTTCTTCATAAAGCCTTGTACTCCTTTAGATATTGATGTAACACATCATCTGAAAGGTTCCTACATTCCCGTATTTTCAAGGAAACAGGTATACTTTTTCATGGAGAACTCAGACCAAGTGAGCTACCAGTGGTTTCCAGTACCCATGAGACAAGGTCAGAGCAATCCAATATAGGGAGTCACAAAGGAAAGAAAGGTTACCACATGCTTACAATAATGCCAAAAACCAAAATAGAAGCAATAACTTATTACCTTTCAGCCTCTGTTGCACAGCCACTTGTTTCAATTTTGTGCCTCTCCTGTAAGCTTTCCTGAATAGCTCGTTGGGTAGGGATTTCTTCATCAGAATTGTCATCAAACATATACACAGAATTATACATGGCAAATCAGCACAACCTGGATCACTTTGTGTGGGGAAACACTGCTTTTTAATTGGAGGCAGATGTTAAATCTTCAGGATCAATTTGAAGTAATAGAAACAGCAGCCACTGTTACAGTATCAAGAGAAAAGAACATAGTTTAAAATAAACAAATTGGAACTTTTTCATCTCAAGCTTCAGGGTTTAGGTTTGCACTGTAGAATTATTCTATTTAGAACAGAGTAAAGGTTTTCTACTCCTGTAGCATGTCCCAGCTTTTTTCTCTGTTCCACAGACTGAACATACAGAATAGCTACTTGTTCTGGCATTGCTTCCTAGAAAGCAACAAAAATAGGCAAAACTTCGCTTTTAGATAAACAGTCATTCCCTCTTAAGTCATTTAGACACTCAAATATCATCACAATCGAGCTCTGATGTTTCCTTAGTGGGAAAACAAATGTGCAATAAAATACAGGATGTTTTTCCTGTTTGTTCACAGCAGGCCTGGAAGGGAAGGGCAAGTGAAGGACATGAAATTTTTTAATAATAGCTCTTGTTCAAACTGTTTCAACAAAGACATTGTTAGGGCAATATCTGGTAGTCAGGAAAGTATTGCAGATTTGTGCTATTATGTGCACCAGCCATTCAACTGAAACAACATCAAACATGCTTGGAAAAACATCAACTTCACCACCTTATGTACCAAATCTACTGCCTTTTACAACAGATAAACTTAAAATTCTGCCTCCATCCATGCATGCCTGTTTGCTTCTGATGCTTTTAAGGGATATAACCAAAATACTGCAACAGTATATATCCAAATACAAGCAGAAATAAAACACACTGGTGTAACCACAATTGAGTTAATAACACAAAAAAGCTTAAGAATAGCATTATTTAAAAAAAAAACCCAAATCAAAACCCAAAATCCAAACACATAAAACTTCTCCATATTGAAAGGGTTCAATTAAAGATTGCAAGAAAAACAATGAAGCATAGAATTAAATCCAATTGGTACTGTATTAAGTCTAAATGTTAAAATATATGAAGAAATAGTAAAAAATTATTAACAATTAAACTGATCACTAAATAGCATAATGGATGTAGATGTACACTGTTAAGCAGTCCCACTGTCCTTCTGTATATTCAGCTACATGCTATTATAGGTTAAAATCACAGATGGTCTGTTAGGCTCAAACCTCTCATCTGTTTTACCTTATCAAAACATCTGCTTCTGTCTTCCAAGACAGTTGGTCTGAAAGAAACCCTCAAAACTACAGGGAAAAATAAAATAAAATAAATAAGTAAAACTGAAAGCAAATAAACAAATTGGCAAAATGAATGAGCACAGCAAAATTAAGGAAGTTGTCAACACGCCACTTACAAAGTTCAGAGTAATTCTAGAAACATCTTAAAGTTGGGCAGCAGTAATTCACAGCAAACCTGCAGCATTTAATTTGTTACCTGATCCACCTAAAGTGTGATTGCAAGGCTTTGCTCTGTAATAGTACATGTAGCAAAGAAGAGAAATATTATTAGCAACATATACAAACTGTTAGTAATGGATTATACTATGGCACAGTGAGTACAGAAACATTTTAACTCTAGACTACTTCTTTTCATAAATTGACTACTAATTTTCCTACGAATTGAGAAAATATACTGGTTTTTCTCACCTTCTGAAAGAGGGAAGACCTCACACTTTGAAGAAGTAATTATTAAGTTGAAAGTGATATTTTCAGGATTGCAAATGATCTCTGTAGAGCCCATGTCCATTAATAGCTCCCTATAAATACCCGATCATGAGACAGGCTGGGACTTTGTCCATGTTTCTTTCACACAGGCCAGTAATGTTTAATAATTTGACCTGACAAATGGTATGAACAAAAGAAGGAATTAAAAGTCCAGTTTCCTTGTAAAAATTTTCATGTTTTTGGAATGAAAATTTGAGAACTATAGCAGCAACTATTACATTATGAAAAGAAAATTCTTCAGTGCTATCCTAAAAGAAAAAACTGAAGACAGTGTTAGGAGCTTACTTAAAAGGGTAAGACAGCATAAAAACTAAAAACAATAATAGTAAACACAAATAAGCAAATAAAATCAAGTCAAAATACTATTAAAATTATTATGTTTCTGATTGCTTAGTCACAATTCCCAGTAATATAAATAGAAAAGCAAATGAGAAATAAACAGAGTTTTTAAAGGAAAAAGGAGTTTCAGAAAGACAGACTTACACTGGTGTAACACCCAACAAAGGGAAATGAGGGAATAAGATGCTCAGTTGTAATAGTGATGGCAGGATGGAGTTATTTCCACTGTATTTTACAGAGGGATCCATACAAAGAAATGACGATGTACCTGAATGCAAGGTGGAAAGAGTTCCTTGCTAGAGGAAATCTAGGAAGAATGCTTGAGTAATTTTTTTTTATTTTTCAAGAGAACAAATGTGCAGAATCAACTTTATTGCCCTTAATGTTTCTCTCAGAAAGTGCAGACTACTTTCATATTCCATTAAGATACATTTTGTGATATTTAACTAAGGCATTAAACTGATGTTCACACAATAATAATATTACCAAGGGCTAAAATCTTAGTTGTTTGTTTATAGATTGTAAAGACACTAATAATAACAACACATATTTAATTAAGACAAAATATTGAGGATCAGAAAGTATTTGTAGCCCTCTTAATATAAAAAACTCCAGATGTTTCTTTTACACACTGTGTTCCACTTCCTGTATAAGCCAACAAAAAGAACAGGATCTTGTGGAGTGCCCAGAGTCAGTCATCCAGCTGGCAGAGCAGTGCAACCCCTCTCTTGATCCAGTGCTGGACGGGTTTGTCCGTGTCGAGCCTCAAGGCAATGACGAAGTTGGTGGAATGACCAGTGGTTGACAAGACTCCTTTGCGCTCACTTGTCTTGTAGAGTGGGCAAACGTAGGCATTGGATTCCTTTATGTCTGATTTTGGAGCTTCAAAAGAACCCCAAAGTAATCCATTACATTCAGCAGATCTATTCATACAAACATAATCTACATGCAAATATGAAGTATTTTCAGTAACATCTTTAAAGCTAAATAAAAATGCAAAATTGTTTTGTAGCAACAGAATAAAATTATCCCACTTCTTTTTTTTGTGTTCTCTTGTGTGGTTTCTTTTGTTTTTAAACAGAACTAATTTATCCACAATTTGTTTTCAGGATTCAATGCCTTCCTGTGATTCTACTAGCTTTGTAATACTCAAAGAAACATTAAAATCTGCATAGTTACCTAGTTTAACCATAGATTATACATGAGCTTTTAACAGCTCTACAAGAATTCTGGTCCAGCTGCCACAGAACTAACTGCAATTCAAGACACCTGAGATCCAAGGACAGAACTCTGCAGGAACTCTTTGTATGCCCAGACTGCTTACATGGAACTTGTGGAAAGCCTAAAATCATGCAGGTCTGAGCAGATTCATCCAACCTCAAGAGAAAGCACAGGCAGAAAAAGTGGGAATTTTTAAGACTGCCTATCTGCTGACAACATCTAAGTTTTAACTGTTGCAGTAGAAAGTTGTGATTATGTGAGTAAGTAAAACAGGGATTTACTCCTAATCAAAGAAAACAAGAGTTGTGAAAAACTACTTACTAGTATGACAGGCAGTTGGCACAGCAGCTAAAAATAACCTGAGCAAACCTTGCTAAATCACATGAGGTAAAATACTGAGTCTCTGTAACTCAGTTGAAAGTTCCCCTCAACTTGAGTAGAGCCAGGAATTCAAGTACCATGTGCTTTCCTACCCAAATTAACTTTTTGTTGAAAAATAGACTGGGAGCAACCGACCATATTTACAAAAAATTCATTTAACTAGTCTTTTCATCTCATTCATAATTCTAAATATCTCTGGGGAGCGGGACAGGCCCAGGGCTCAGACAGGGTGGGACCGACTCCAGCGAGCAGGCCCCACTTTTGACAGGAAAGTCCCAGGTCAGATGAACATGAATTCTGTGCACATTTGGGTACTTGGGTGAGGACACTGATCTTCAGTAAAAAAGGAAACCACTGTTGCAATTTCTTGTTGAATAGCTCATATCAGAGAAATTATACTCACTTGGCTTTATCCAAATGATTGGCATGGCGTCAAAGAGCACTTTGGGATACTGCTCAGTCAACAGTCCCCTGGGGAGAGAAAGCAACAAAGTGATTATTTGTGGCTTGAGGGGTTTGGTGGGTGTTTTTTGGTTGTTGCTTGATAGTTTGTTGGCTTTTTCTTCCCCATTTTCCATTAATGAGAGAGTATTTAATTTGGGATGTTATTTCAATAATGTGAAAAGTATCACTCAAAATATTTCAGTCAATCTTGTTTGAGCATCTAAGAAAGCTTTCCAGAACTACAGGAAAAAACTTGGCTACTGACTTTGTCCTGTCCCAGCGAGCTCCGTCTAAAAATAATCCGTGGATATAAACACCGTCTTCTGGTGCAGTATCAGCAGTATCCTGAGGAATAACCTACAAGAAGTAAATTTTCCATGTTATTAAACTTCCCCTGCTCTTTGCTTTTTAAGGTATTATGCCATCAGCCAATTTTCAGATCAATCCAAATTGGGAATAATATAGTAACACCTTCCTTTCAGTGCTACTTTTATTCAAAACCATAGAGAGCAGATTTCTGTGGGTTTGTTAATGATCTTTATAGAGGTTATAAAATGAGGCTTGAATCACACAGACAAATATGAACCATATAGGCTGTTTTCTTGAGTGGAGGCCCAGGTCCAATGACAGAATTACTTTTCATCACTTCGAATATACCTCTTCTACAGATGTTATATTATATATTATGAATATATATTATATATATAGTATATTTTATCATATATATATATATATGATACCATATATATATATGTATGGTATGCCAACCTTACCAAAGAAATACATGTATGTCTTCAGACTGCAGTGAGTTAGTTGCAAAATGAACCTTCCAGTCAGGATTTCTTTACTACATCTCACCACAACATCAGGACTCAGATTAATAAAAGATTAATTTATAACTTGTCCATACCTGAAATTCATATCCCAGAAGGTCAATAGGGATTCTGTGTTTCCTAGCATAGTTTTGCATTGCTCCAGTTAGGAAAGCTTGAGTAAAATAGAATCCTGACAGCCAAAAAACGGGGGGCTTCCCTAATTCATACCAATCCTGGAAGGAAAAAAGTGACACATTCAATAATCAGAAAGAGAAATCTCACACTCTTTGACAATTTTCTCCATAACCGTACTCAGAAAATCTAAACAAAGCCTATCCCTCCTTTCCCAATAATCCTTTAACATAAAGGACAAATGATATGAAAAAGCAGATTAACTAATTGGCAGCCCTGCCTCTTGTACATTACCTGTAAAAACTTCAGCCTTGCTAGCAAATCTACAATGTAGCTCCCTAATGGCTTTAGACTTGGGTAGGAATGTTGTGCCCACTTCTCAGGAACTTTTCCAATAAGGAGACTGCCAGACAGAGCCTCCAGCTCAGCATCCATAACAACCAGTCCTTTAATGGCTTTCTTCAGGTTAATTAGTGTAATACGAATAGTTCGGATTAAACTGGAATTAGAAAATATAAATTTTTCACACATTTTGCACGATTTGTAAAACATGACAGTGGCACTGGAAAGAAATTTTAAAAAATTGACTATGGAATCATCTATAGAGCTTGTACACCTAATACATACATACACATACCCACATACATATATATATATACATACACACACACATGTACACACAATTAGCCACATCTGTCAAGTCATGGATTTGCGCAGATTTATTTAAGACTAGGAACAGTAATAATTTCCTTTGTTATCTCTGATATACTCTGTGTTGTTAGGTAAGAGGATAAATTTGGAACTCCAAATCTATCCACCATATACTAAATGAAGGAAAAAGGTTTAGATTCCAAAAGAAGAGGTGGGTAGGGTTTACAACAAGGATAACTTGGAGACTGAAGGCCAGAGAGAATTAGGGAGAAAATGGAGCAGGAAATGTGAAGAGAAAAATAGAAAAGGAGGAGGACAAAGAAAAATCAGAAAGAAGGAATGGAGAGGCATGCAAAGATAAGACAGAAAATTAGGAAACAAAGTCAAAAAAGAGATTAGGGAATCAAATAGAAAAATGAAAGTGATTATAGGTTTGTAATCCTAGGAGAGTAATTGAGCAAATCAGGTCTAGGGAAAAAAGGCATCAGAAAAAAAGGGGGGGAAAGGAAATTTTACAAATGGAAGTATATGAGACAATAAAGAAATATACAGAAATATTTCCATCTATCAAGGGAAAGGTTTCATAAACTAAAACTGTGCATGTATTACAGTTTCTAAACCCTTTACCCTACAGGTCAGAAATATGAGGAAAATAAAATATAATTGAAGATAAAGATGGTGAAAGGGAAAGGGAAGTTTAAAAAAAAAAGGAACATAAAAATATTGTTTGTATTCTCTCTTCCCAGAGCTTCCTCACACTCCCTTCTTCTATCATATATTTTTCTCTTTCAGTACATTTTGCCCCTAGACCGTTTTTCCTGACAGCCATCCTACACTCTGACTTTACACAAGGAGCAATGGTGCTTGGACTGCAGATATCACTGCAGACAATTAGAAGCGAACAAAACAAATGAAATATTTCACACAACAGAGCTTACAGTGTATGATTCACAGAAAATTTTTCCTGCAAATAGAATTATAATAAAATAGAACATTCTTACTGGTTAAATCTTTCCATTTCTTGCACCAGCACAGTGTTCATACTTTCTTCATATCTCACAGGATATTTAAGTAGGCAATTTTCAATGTCAAAATCATTTGGAAGCTGTAAATGACAACGTATTTGAAAATCATTCCATATATTATTATGCAATGGTTTTGATCATTCAAGGCATGCAAATGTGAATATTTGCAGAGTAATAATACCACTAAACTTTCTGATTAGTATCCTATCAATACAGTATTCAGTAATTCAATCTGAATAA